CGGTTTCGCAGGGGTTTTTCTGAGAGTGGGGATGGCTTTTGGCCGGGGATGTTAACGGGCTGCGGGCGGGTAGTAAAACCTCTATGAGGGGTCCTGGGTCGGATTCTGCTTCTCCCGATTGGGTCTGGACCCGGTCAATGTTAAATAAGGTTAATTTCACACAACCCCCCTCTGAACTTTGTGTATCTCACCTAGCCCTCCCGAAATTTAGGTTGATTGTGTCCCGCCACAGCACTGCTAAACTTTAACTTTTTCTCGCCACACCTCCACTTGTAATTTGCAAATAGCGTAAATACTCCTAAGGGGGGGAGAGAGAAATCCTAAATTTTGTCAACTATCACTTACAGGCAACATGCCCCTCCCATAATTTTTGGATTTTTTCTGTCCCATGGAAATTTAATTTTATTTGTCTGTCCCATGGAAATTTAATTTTCTTTGCAAATTATATGTAGGAGGGGGTACGGCGAGAAAATTTCGATACTCAATGGGTTTTTGAGACACACCAAAGTTCGGGGGGATTAAAAATAATTCCACCTCATCAAAAGAAATCTTTTTAAATCCAAATAGAAAATCATCTACACCCAAGTTTCCTTATATGGCGAAATTATGTAGCTTTTGCGCTAACTGCTTTTCAACCAAACACTGAATTTACATTGGGAATACATTTCCTACAATATAATTGGATATAACCAAACAATAACTTTGAAGTTGATTTACAGCAACAAATGCTACATGCAATATTTGTTGCAATTTATTTTTACAGCAAACCAATCAGCCCCTAAATACTAGGATTTTCCCCCCATACTGGTCATTTACATCTTTGATAATTTGGAATTAGCCCTCAAATCATTGAAATCGTTATTGAATCCCCCGAAATCCTGCCAGTCATTTCAAATTAGCCCCTGTAGTTTGTTACCGTTTGATTTGAAAGGAATATTCCATTTAACTTAACCTTTTTCATGGGTTTCCGATTGAATCCCTCAAAGCGTAGCTTGTTACCCGCTTGTCATTATCACATGTGTAATATTTTTTTATTTTACTTTTTAAATTCCTTTCTTTAATGTTTTTGGCATTTGAAGGGAGGAGTCGAGGGTAGAAATATATCTAATGAGATTAGAAGTACTTAATAGCAATTTCATTGATTTGAGGGACTAATTTCAAAATATTGAAGATTTAAGGGGCCAATATCGATAAAAATTCTAAATACCAATGTTAGATAGCATCTGAAGTCGTGCATCCTTGATAGAAAACCCGTTATCATTATCATTGTTATTATCATTATTAAGGGTTTTCTCCGTCAGAATGAAACCTCTAAAATATACTTATTAAACATTGATGGAGCATAAGAACATGGTTAATTATTAGACATTCATCTCCCTGACGATAAATTGCTTGTCTGACTACGTACACTAATCAACCACATACTGGACGAAAAAGAGCTAGATTTTTTCCAACAAAAAGGTCTACCGGTGATCGGGATCGGGTGCGTGTAGCCCGTTTGGGCCCGGTTAAACGGATTGGATTCTGGTCGAGCTCATACTGATCGGATGGAATTGACCGGCCTCACCTGTTCGGTTGTTCTACGACCCTTTCCTCATCCACTAGCTCCTACTGGGACTGCGCGCGTCCTAGACAAGCGCATCCGATCCTCTTAATTGGATCCCGAGCGCGAGCGCGCACACGCACACGCACACGCAATTGAATTTTGTGCGTCCGTCCGTAACTAATCCTCTTCAATTCTCATCTACTCCATCGCCCTACCCACATTTTTCGGTATGGCGGGCGGCTAGCATTAATATCGATCCAGATTCCAGTCCGATCAAGCTAATCCCGTGCTCGGTGCCTAACAGCAAACTTACAATATTAGCGTGTATGTATAGGAAGGAGGAGCCCTGCCAACAGCAACTAAAAATATGAGTTCATGTAATAAGTGGTTAACTATTTTGGAGAGGAGGGCCTTTTTGCAATTTACGCTCGCCCACCGTTCGAGGATTGGTGCCCACACCAAGCATGGTCATGCATTCAATGAGTCAACGATATCTTAGTAAGGCAACAATTGCTCCCACTCATATACGCTAGTTAGTTTCCTCTATAAATCTCCCTCTTCATCTCCTCGAATCATGCACAGCAACAAAATAGAAACATGGCCCCCGTTTCAGTTACCGAAGAGGAGAATGTAAACGGAGACGGAGAAGAGAAACGCGTTGAGGAGGTGACGGAGAAGCCTCAGGTGGCCAAAGTTGGAGAGGAGGATGCCGAGAAAATGTCGAAGGATGAGAAGGTCGTCGATGTGGAGGAAGAGATCGAGGAAGGAGGGGATCACGGGGTTGAAGAGAAGAAGGGTGGGGTTGAGGAGGAGGAGAACGTGGAGATGGATGTCGAACCGAAGACTGGAGTTTCTTTCCCTGTCAAGCTGGCTGATGGCAAGCAGCTTATGGCGCTTGGAGTCAGAAGGAAGAAAGTAATCGCCCTCAGTATCAACATCTACGCCTTCGGTAATTATACCGTTTAGACACTTGCGCCTGTATTAGCTTCTCCTATGTCTGCTTTGATCCGCACGCTACTAAATTAACAAGCATTGATGATGATTTTTCCCCCCGTGTGGATGGGAATTATTACATTGAAGCTACCTGTCAGTGAATAAAATAATTAATTCCAGCTACAAGCTTTTTAATTAATAAGTAGTAACATAAACATGAGAAGGGGGTTCAGATCACAGAAAATTTATTAACAAATCCAAATTTCGTTGGCTTTGATTTCTGGGTTCCAATTTTATATGCTGATAATTTTCCTCAAAAAAAGTTTTTTTTTCTATACGCTGATAATGCCCTAGAAGAATCAGTTGTAGAGCAGCCATGATGCATAATTATATTGTTGACCGCCTAGTTATCATGAATCACCGGATCTCCAAGAGTCCCGAGTCATGAGATCCAGAGTTCAGTTGAAACTAGTCATTTCGATCTCAACCTGAAGGCCAGATTTAAGTTGCAGTCCGAACCAGGTTCTGTTAGTTGAATAGACGCAGAGATCAAATCCACAGGAATTCAATGCTTGAGGTCTGTCTGATGAAAATGCACCTCTGTATGAATCATGATCTTCAATTTTGCTCAAACAAATTCGTCGCTTAATTAATAAGCACACTAAAACCAAGATTTGAGTACATCTAGCTTGCATTCTTACACAACAGATGCACAGTTGGACAAAAGTTCTGCAATAATGAAATATCTTCGCACATATTGATTATAACAATCGATAAGTGAATCTTCAAGTAGTTACTTACATGTCAATCTAGATCTAATGCTGCATTTGCTGTCGCAATCGATAAGTGAATCTTCAAGTAGATACTTACATGTCATTAATGTTGATCTAATGCTGCACTTGTTATCAACTTTTAGGGGTGTACGCTGATAATACTAAGTTGAAGGAGCTTCTCAAGACAAAATTTGGAAAGGCACCGTCAGAACCCACAAAGGAACTATACGAAACGGTGATTAACAGTGATATCGGGATGAAGGTAAGGCTGATCATCGTCTTCAAAGCCCTCACCATGAACATGGTCAGAAAGAACTTCAACGAAGGTCTAGGGGCATCCCTTAAAAAGCTCAAGGGAGGCCAAAAGGATGATGAACTCGTAAACAAGTAAGATCTCCTTAAAAACAAATTAGAATTAAAAACCATCCCTCGCAATAAATTTACTGGTTTATGTAATATAAAGCTTGTTCTCAATTGTCAACAGGGTAATGGGTGCTGCGAAAGATAGCATCAAACTGTCAGCAGGGTCGGTTATTGAGATAACCAGGCTCCCAGGATACATTCTTCAGATGAAAGGTAAGTGATCAAATGAAATAAGAAATCAAAGAAAACACATGTATGTATCTGGATCTGATAATAAACATGCCACTTAACTTGATCACGGGACTTTGAATGATGCAGTGAAGGATGAACAAATAAGCGAGGTTGAGAGCGAGCTACTCTGCAGAGCCTACTTTGACATGTATCTGGGAGATGACCCTTTTGATAAGGAGGCCAAAGAAATATTTGGAAAGTCACTGCTCAACCTTTTCTGATAAATTTCTGAACGATGTACTCGGCTCATGCTGTTGTGAGGCAATGTCAGAGGGATAAAAATGTCTGGATTGTGTTCCCAGACTTCACAGCCAACCTCTTGGTGGTGCCAAAGAGCATCTAATAATATAGATATGTTTGTCAAATTTTTACTGATTTCCAGAATATAAGCAGCATCCTATGCTCGTCAACTTATCTTAGGCACGCCTTGAGCAAAACCTGAGTGAATCAAGCTTTATGAGATCTTAAACATATGTAGAAATATTGTTTTGAGGTATGACTCTCATCTGAGGAACTGATTGTATCTGGTGCAACATGATAGGAAACTTATGAAGCTTGGACTAGTTAATCAAGTAGATGTGAAGCATACGGATAGAATGATACATTAACATCTCTCAGATATATATAAAAACAGTCTGAATTTGATTTTCGAACTGAAAATTGCAATTTAATTAACAATTAATTACGTGATCCCATTGATTTTTTCCCCCCAACAAGTAATGAAAAATGATCTGTTTTGACTATTTTTTGTCTAAATGAACAAAATCAAACTAGATTGCAAACCGGACCGAATCAAATCGGGTCGGTGCGCTTCAGTTTGATATTAGGCCTAAGCCTGTCAAACTGGAGCACTTTTAGCTAAAAAGGCAAGACTATAACCCCTTCAAACCTTGCAATCACCTCCTATGCGGCTATGCCTTGTTGAAGAGAGTTCGTCAAATCATCTGCTTTACAAACTAAAATTGAAGGTTTACCAGTTAAGATACATAAAAAATTTAGCATAAATTATTTATTCACCTAAAAAGAGCGTGAGTTTTAGGCAATTACATTGAGAGCGGTCGGCTTGGTTACTTCAATTTTGAATATTTCAAAACAGAACCGAACCGTTGAAATTCGATCGATTTGGTCAGTTTTGCGCCGAACGGTGCTCACCCCTAACAACAAGGAGGATCTTGACCAATTCCTGATATCCTTCTGCTCTGATGATTATCACGTCATCGTTTTGTTACGAGAAAAAAAAAAGAGAAAAAAAAAATTAAATTCATCACATCACAATTAATTAATAATATGGAAGGAGACGAGTCAATATAATCGAGGATTCCTTGGTAGCGAAGAAACCCCCCTCCATAAGGAAAAGGAAAAGAAAAACAAAAGGGCGAGCCCCCCAAATTAATTGATACATATTTAACCCCCCGCGGCTTATCTATCTTAATAATATCCCCTCCCCCCCTATTCGATCCTTCATCTAAAAGTCTCTCATCGATCGATCCGCTCGCTCGCTCGCTTTAGGGTTAGGGTTTGACCTCTCTCCAGCGGCTCACCGGTCCGATCCTCCCCTCCTTCTTCTCCAGCGCCGACGACATGGAGCATCAAGTCGAACAGCGCGATGTCGTCATCAAGGTCTCTTCTCTCCTCTTTCAATTTGATGGTCGATATGTGATTCAGGACCTTGTTTTTATTTTAGTTATCTCCGATGTGATTATCCGATACTGTGACTGGCCTTCATCCCGATTACTCAATCATAAATATACATGTCTCTGATCTAGATTCGGATGCATCGCCTGTGCTGGGTCTTTGCGAGTCGAAATTTTCGTATATAAATATGTATAGATTTCGTTAATAGTCCTTTACCGAAATAAAGTAGGTACCTTTTCTGTGTTCACTGTCTTGTTGGGGGCGATGAATTCTAAAGGGTTAGGGTTAGGGTTAGGGTTAGGGTTAGGGTTAACATATGGTGCATATTAATTACTGATCAGGGAGTGCCTATGAGCAATCACTTTCGTGTGATAGAATGCTTGGAAATTAAGAAACAACATGTTCAAGAAATGGGTAGCGGAAATGAGAATGTGACAAATTGATAGACTTAAGGGTTGAGATAAGAAATGGTTGCATTCTGCTTAAAAAATATGAAAATGATTGCATTATTGGCAGACAGAGTCGCTTCTATTTAGAAGAAAATGGGAGAATAATTTGAAATAGTTTGTTCATGTGCAACGGAGGCTTTTAAAAGTATCAATTAGAAGCAATAAGATTATAATTAATGGAGTAAGGAGAATCTCAGCTTAGTTGGAAGCTATTAAGAAAGATGTGGGAAGTCGGCAATGGTTAACTGAATGGAAGATATAAACCTTAACAGAATTGAATAAAGTTGTAGGACACATAGTTTACGTCAAAATTTGGGATAAAGGTTTCGTCGTTGTTTGTTGTAGCAATAAAACTAGGTTTCTACTTATATTTATTTATTTATTATTCTCCGTGTGTGTACATAAAATACATATAAATCATTCATTGCTATACTGAAACATGTCGACCAAGGGAAAATGCCAATTGCTTAGGGCAAGGATTATGACACTCTTATGTTATCCTATATGCTCACCATGCTTTTGCATTCCGGTGTTGGTATGGGTCTGGGGAGCTATTTTTTGACTTCCCTTCGTGATCTGGGCTCTTGAAATTTTACATGCTGCTGCAGAAATGTATCCTTTTTCTCTTTAAATGTATATCTAGTTATCCATCTACAGATCATCTGATAGGTATATCTTAACTCGTACATGCTCTTTCCTTAATTATAGGGGCTGTTGTGTTATCTGCTCTCTTTTGAGCTTGTTGTCTTCCTTTGGCCATGTATACCCTTTTTTGGTGTTTTAGTTTCTTTCATTTTTTTACGTGACCATTTTTATCATTAGCCAAGCATTTCATTCTTGAAACACCATTGCTATATCTACTAAAGAGAACTAAGCAAATATTTGTAACCAGCTACGTGCCCATTCTATGAAATATGACAGGTGAGTTCATGGGTAAGTTGGTTTGTGTTTTGGACTTCAGCTTAGTCTTGTACATACCACCAAGAATCTTAGATCTCTTGTTCATTTGTATGTCAAAGATATTGCTCTTTGTTATGGAATTGTTCGAAGCATTCTGTTTAATGTCAGTTACCTAGTTGAGTCCCTAGTTGAGTCATTCTAGCTTTTGTGGGCTGTGGCAATTTTTATCTTCAGCCTAACCTGTGACATGCATCTAGTATCTTTTTTTCATTTCATTGAATTTTCAGGTAAAATATGGTGATACTCTTAGGCGAATTGGTGCATATGTTCACGGGCATACCATGGATCACAATATGAGCAGACTTAGAGCCAAGATAGTCGGTCTTTTCAAGTTCAACCATGAAGCTGAGCTCTTGCTGACGTATATTGATGAAGATGGCGACACAGTCACACTAGATGATGATGATGAGCTTCGTGATGCTGTGATCAGTCAGCGCTTAAATCCTCTCAGGATAAACGTTCAGTTCAAATCTGCTGATAGTTCTGAAGCAAGATCAGAGACTTCATCTCGTGCTAAGGCCCCACAGAGTGAAACTCCTCCCACTCTTGATGAACACGTGAAATCCATACAGGACCCATTGTTAGGTTTGATTTCAAATCTGGTCAGCATTGTGCAGAAAAGCGTACCATCTTCACCGGCTTATAGTTCTGATCCAAAGTCGGATAAATCATCTCATGCTAAGGCCCCACAGAATGGAACTCATCCCATTGTTGATGGAGAACCAAAGTCCATTCAGGACCCATTTATGGATGTGATTCATAATCTGGTCAACAATGTACAGAAAAGTGTACCATCTTCACAGGCTTATATTCAGAAAGTTGATGAACTAATGAAATCAGAGCCAATTAGAAGTGTAATGGCAAATGTTGCCCAGGATCTGAAGAAAACTACATCACTCTCACCTGTACTCGACCAAATTATGGAGCAAGTCTCTAATTTGGCATTATCTAAAGCTGGGGAAACGTCTGGTCCCACTGATGAGTCCTCAATTGGACCTGGTGGAGCTTCAACTCATCAAATGGCTTCAAGTGAGCAGATTCAGGAAACCACTGAATTACCAAGTAACGGTGCAAGTTCTGTCTGTGCAGCTCCAAAGCAGAATACATCTTGTGACATGACGCAGGTTGCAGGGGATACAATAACTTCTGTAGGTCCTAATGGAAATATTCGTAGAGATACAACTTCATCATTGTATCCTTTTGATGATTTACTGGCCTCAATTTTGACTGCTAATAAAAGCTCTGAGCATGACCAAGAAGTTGGTGATTCAATTCTCAATGGAAAGTCTGCTGCACCTACCGCCCAAGGCTTCCAACCTGGCAATCAGACTCCCGTTGATTTAGAAAATCTTTGGAATTCTGCGCGATATTGTCCAGCGTGATAACAGCAAAATGCAGTCTCCAGTGGAGGCTCATGCATCCTTCCCCTCACAAACTGGTTTCAGTTCCCACATTGAAGTCCCAGTGAGCAGGGAGACAGGGTCACCTCCAACTGATGTTTTCCCGAAGCTAGGTCAAGGGATGGTATCACATTCTTATAGAAGATCTTATGCGAACAATGAGAACATACCACGTACTTTCCACAAGGGGGTTCAGTGTGATGGCTGTGGAATGCATCCTATTGTAGGCCCAAGATTTAAGTCCAATGTGTAAGAAATTGCAAGATGCTGATCTCTATTTTGTGTGTACATCTTTGTAGTCATCTCTTAATTTTGTTGGTAACATTACTTTTTTTTTTACTTCTTGCAGGAAGGATGATTACGATTTATGTAACATTTGTTTTGCTCAGATGGGCAATGAAACTGAATATACAAGAATTGATCATGCTTCTCGCCGTGCACCCAGACTGTTAAAACCCGGAATATTAAAGGACTTCCACAATCATGTATGATGTCAATATTATCTCGACATTGCATCTTTATGATTTCTCACTTTACCTGTTTCTACATATTATGAAACTTGCTTATAATATTATTTTTTTAATGCCAGCATTCAAAATGTCGGTTCCCATCAGTAAATGTGCTTCGGGCCAGTGGTGCAAGACCAAGTAGAGCTAAGCTGGAAAGTCGTTTTGTCCAAGATGTCACTGTCTTGGATGGAACAGTGATGCCTCCTTCAACTCGTTTTACCAAGATATGGCGGTTGCATAACAATGGCACTCTTGCATGGCCCTTTGGCACTCAGCTTGTGTGGGTTGGTGGTGATCAATTTGGCGACAGAGTTTCCTCTACTTTAGAGGTGACAAACTGTTATTCCTTATATTTGGAAGTTTGTTATTTGTATTAGTATTAACCAACCTTATGTGAACTTCCGCAGATTCCAGCTAACGGCTTTCCTGTTGACAAGGAGCTTGATATTGCAGTTGATTTTACTGCACCTTCAAGGCCAGGTCGCTATGTTTCATACTGGAGAATGGCATCACTTTCTGGCCAGCAGTTTGGACAGCGAGTTTGGGTCCTTATCCAGGTCTGGACTTTCCAGGGATTTAAAATACTGCTATATATTTTACGTTCTGGTTACATAATTACATTCATCACTAATTTCTTACCTCCGTACTGAGTCTATAGGTGGATTACTCCAGCCCAAATTCCGCTGCTGGTAGTAATGTACAGCCTGCCTTCAACTTGAACCTGCCGCCTGATAGCATCAGTCAGAATCTGATCATTGATGTCAATGCTGAACCTCTCGACAGTGGGTTACCAGAACCAAGTGTCACGACCACAACTGAGGAGCCGGTTAAGCCAGTGGCGGAGAGCGTCATTGTGGGGGAGGCTGTTCAAGTGGTTGGTGGTTTGCTAGATGCTGGCAATGTTGAGCATCATCAATCCACTCCAGCAGCTGCTGTTCCCCCGGTTGCATCCTATCCTTTGATCAACTTGCAGGAAATGCTTCCAATGGTTGATGAGTTTCCAGTCACAGAGTCTGCGGCCACTGCTGATGGCAACCCCGTGGAGCAAACCCTGCTGAAGGAGTTGGAAGATATGGGCTTCAAGGAGATTAACTTGAACAAGGAGATTCTCAGGCTCAACGAATATAATCTGGAGCAGTCTGTTGATGACCTCTGCGGTTTCGCAGAATGGGATCCACTTCTCTGCGAGCTGCAGGAAATGGTAAACTTCAATACGTTGACTCCTCCAATTTCTTTTCCTGCTGTCTTGACAATTAGAGGCACTGATCGGTTAAGAGCTTTTGCAGGGATTCAACAACAGGGAGATGAACAAGAAAGCGCTGATAAAGAATGGGGGAAGCATCAAGCGAGCCGTATTGGATCTTATTGCTGGACAGATTTCTGAGTAGGCTCCGAGTTGTTATATGTAGGTCGTGTATATATTTATGCTGCTGGTGCTACTTATATAAGATGCTGTCTATTTTGATTTCTTCCGTGCGCTGTGTGGAAAGACTATCATCTAAGTCATGAATAAGAGCTTAACTTGCTGCATCTTTTTGTATATATATAGGCAGCAGTTAATGCCTTGAGTTATCCGACTCGTAAACCTAATATGTTTTAGTAATTTGCTTTGTTGGTATATATTCCATGGTGATGGTATTATTTAGTATCTCTGTTGTGATTAAATTTGAGGCCCCTGTTCTCCGTCAATTCTGTGCGTAGGGTGGTCTGTTTTCATTTATGAAATTACTTGTTACCTAGCCATTGGTAACTTGGACAGGTCGAATCAACCAGTGATCTCTTTGTGTGGAATTATAGACATGGATACTGCGAAGCAGTGAGTGAATCAAAATCGTTTTTAAAACTGTTACTGTGCGTTTTTGATCAAACATCAGTTCGAATTTCAGCTCAATTTCCCGTGATTTAGCCTCTAGATCTAGACCACATCGAAAACTTCAAGGGCTAAGCAACAATTTTTTTTTTAAAACAAACCAAATTCGAATGAAACAGAAACGGGCCGAAGGATTCCGAAACATGCCCTGATACGTACAATCAGTTCAAGAGTCCCGGCTATTTTACGAGTTCGGACGAAAACAATGTAAACAGTTACCATACAGCGAGCGTGGTGTTATTATCAACATCTATTTATTGTGTTTTGTGTTTCATTATGGATCCGTAGATCATCGTACGTTTACGGTGCTGGCGCTGTACTCCTCGGCGGATGCCAAGATCAATCGGTAACCGCGGATTGCTGGGGGGGATAATGTCAGCGGATCAAAATGATCAACTAAAAATCAAAGGGAGGTGTGGAATAAAAAGAGAGAGAGCAAATCATATCGACAAGAGCATCAAGCAATTTGTACAACCTCATCTAAGCCCGGCAACCCTAATAACCCTCCTGATCTTAAATTATCCCCCTTCCGAAAAGAAACCCCTAACCAGATCAGGAAAACCCTAAATCAGAGGGCGGGGGCAAAAGAGAAAAGAAAAAGGGGAAAAAAAGAGCAGTCGAAGTTAAAATTACAGGTCGCGCTCCTTCTCCTCCAGCAGTAGCTGCGGCTGCCCTCTTCTTCTTCTGACGAGCAGGGCGACAAAGCTGAGGCCAGCGCAGACGGCGGCGGCGAGATTCCCCTCCCTGATCAGAATCCTGAACGCCAGGCTGGCGATGTCCCTGGTGATCCTCCTCCCTCATCACCAGCGTCCTCCTCGTTTCCCCGCGATAGCGAGCAGCACGAGGACGGTGATCCAGGTGACCAACCCGTGGCCGGAACAGCGACGGAGAGGCGGCGCCCATGGAGAGGAGGCCGAAGAGCGCCGCCGGTAGAGGACGGAGGCGTAGAGGGCCGGCCACCGCGGCGGAAGATAGAAGGAGCCGCCGCCAGGAGGAGGAGGAGGAGGAGGAGACGGCGGAGTTTGTACCAGGAGCGGATGGAGAGGATGAGGTTCCAGGAGGAGGAGAGGAGGAGGGCGTAGACGATGAGGAAGAGGATGACCCAGTGTGCGGCGTTTGCTGAGGGCCCTCATCAGGAAGGAGCTCAGCCTCGATGATGCTGCTGCTGCTGCTGCTGCTGGCCTGAAGAGCTCGACCCTCCCAGATCTCGCGTTCGTCATTTCCACTGTCCGGAGGGAGGCTTGGCAGAGTCAGAGAGGCAAGAAGGAACGCCTCTCTTTAACTTTTTTTTTTATTTTTTTTATTATTTTTTATTTTTTTCTTTTTTGCCAGCGCTCCTTCGGCGCTCATCAGTGGTGGGGGGGCTTGCTTTCTGCTTGGGGAAAAGTGGGTAGCAATCGCAAGTACCCCTGGTATCCTATTATTGTTTTGGGAAACTCCTCCGGGGTCCCTAATTCATTGCGCAGATATCATGGGGGCCCTTATAATGTTTTTTAAATTAAGAGAAAAAGGTCGGTCAATTGGAACCCCAAGCGTAATTTCCGAACAAATAATTACAAATGTCTTCCCTCCAAAAATTACAAAACCTCCCCAACCAACAACGAGAAATAAAATCTCTACACCAAAACCCTAATAAATCAAGGTCTTTTTTTTTCCACCCAACCTCGCTTTCGTTGAATCTTACTGGTGAGTCAATGACGTGAAGGTCGTCCAATAAACAAAATTTAGGGCCTGTTTGGATTCGTAGGGGGTGAAGGGAAGTTAAGGGAAACTGAGTGAAGGAAAGGGAAGGGAAAGGAAGGGAAGAGAAGAGAATTCTCTTCCCCTTGGTTACACCCCAATTTGGGGGGTAACAATTTTTATACTATTAGGGGGTGAACCAAGGTGAATGGAGGTGAATTAACTTCACCTCCTAAGTGTTCCCAAACAAGGTGAATGGAGGTGAATGGTTCCCCTAACTTCCCTTCACCCTCATTCCCCTCAATCCAAACAAGCCCTTAGCGAAACTGCAAACCTTGTCCCGATTGTTAAAGGGACCCGGTCTGGAGGAGGGGGTAACATTACCGGTGGCTTTAACGCATAAATGACTTGGTTGGTATTTTCGCTATTGGAGTGCTGCTATTGCTATACAGTACATTTTTTCTAATAAGGTTAAATCTTAGTCCTGGTAACAACAAATTTAAATGATTAATTTAAAAAAAAAAACCCCGCAACCAGCAGTTTCTAGACATATGACTTGGACGCTTTAAGCAATATTTTTAAACATTTCGGTCATGTCTACTACCTTCTTCACGCTTTACTGGCAACCATCTGATACTGTTTCAGTGTGTCTCTTCGTGGTCGAATCAAAGACCAAATATTAATGCCAGCTTGTTTATTATATATATATACTATTCTCATGCAAAAAATGGCTGATAATCATGAAAAAGAATCTCAACGTATCCACATTGCTGCTTGTGCGGCCCTTGAGACAAAACCATTCACTAATTTCAAAAGAAATACATCAAGTTTCTTTCTGCAAAAAAAAAAAAATTACAAGACTAGTGACAACGAACGCTCCAAAATGATGATGATTCTTGTGAACATCTCTTGGATAAAAGATTAAAAAAAATAACAATAACAACTTAAAAAGTACCAGGAGACGTGTGACCCTCCAAAGGGAACCCGCAGCTCTTGATGCTTACTTGAAAGACAAAAAAAGGACATAAAACGTACACCTAGAGTTAAATGTTGGCACCGTATTGAACCTTAAAAACTGCTTGTACGTATGATGAAAACCTGTACATGCCAAGGACACCGCGCGCAGCAATTGCTCTCAGATCGAATCCGATCGAAATCACAGATCCTGATCGAGAGCGGGATCTCTTGGGGATTTATCTCCAGCTCCCAGGTATCCGGAAACGTTAGAAACCAAAGTACCCAACATCGAGGTGCTGCGCGTGAGCCAGCCGGCCTTCGTCGGCGACTCATCCTGAAGCTGATTCTTCTGCTGCTCCTCCAACAAGATGTCGAGCCACCTTTTCACCATGTACTCCTTCACCGCGTCGACTCCTTGGCTTGCAACCTCCATCGGCGGAACGGACAACGGGTTCTGCTCCAAGTTAAGCTTGGTAAGCTTATCGAGACGAGCAAACGCATCAGGCAGAACGTGGATCTGGTTGTTGCTGAGGTCGAGTTCTCTCAGGTTGGTTAGGTCGCCGAATGTCGGGGGAAGCTCTTTCAGATCGCTGAAGTTGCTGCTCACGTTTAGGGACTCGAGGCTCGACAGTTTCCCTATAGCATAGGGCAGACCGCGGAGTTCATTAAAGTGAGCATCCAGATGACGCAGAGACTTCATTTCGCAGACGGACGTAGGAAGGGACCGGAGTTTGTTAAGTTGAACGCACAGCTTTTGAAGGTTCCCTAATTCATACCCCATGTTGGTTGGCAGAAAGGCAAGCTCGTTGTAACTCGCGTCTAGCTCCACGAGGGACCTGAGTTTTCGCCCCCCCCAAAAAAAAAAAACTCAATAAGCCTTGTGCTGGCCAAGTCTAGAATTAGTTACGAATAGAACCTGCAGGGGAGAGGAAGTACCTGCACTTTGAGATGCTATCAGGCAATGCCTTGAGCTTGTTACCAGATACATTGAGGACCTTTAGATTTTGCAGCAGCCCGATGGAGTCGGGCAACGAGAGTAAAAGATTGGAAGAAACACGAAGCTCCTCCAGATGCTCCAGACCTGCTATGGAATCTGGAATAGCCTGTATGCATGCCATCAGGAAAATAATTTATTTGAAGCTTAGGCATTGAATAGGACATGAACAAGGACATAATTAAGCTTGGTCGTTAGGATTTCCGGCTATGTCAGCCAAAGAGTCTTAATTATTTTAGATCAGTTCTCGATCTACTGGTTATTTAGAAAAACATATAGGAAAATTAAATGCTACTCTGTATTGCATATGAAGGCAAAGCAGATGAAAAAGCACATTCGCATATTAACAAATATCAGCAACTATCAACTAGAAATTTAAGGAGACTCGAAACGGCAATATGAACGACAATCAGCTAGATTCAGAAATTTGGCTTGACGTCCGTTGCAGGTAGAGGCCAGAGCAGATGCTGCCTCCTACCAGCTCATCCAGTTGCGGGTAAAAACGCAGTCAAAAACACGCATGCGCACAAGACATCCAAAAATCTTCTTACTGACCTTGTCATATCCCGCGCCAATGCCTATTTTCACCCACAGAATTCTTAATTCCTTCTAAAACAAAAAATCTAAATTGTAAAATAAAATCACATGTCCACATACAAACGCAGCTCACAGCGTTGAATAGAAAGAAGACCAGAAAAAATACAACTGCCGCGTTAATTCAAATGGAAAGACGGTCTTAACTTAGAATATCAATTTCGATTGTCTGGTTAGCTGTAACGACAATCGCAGCACGCATCCAAATCTGGTGTTCAGTTAGTTGTTGGGTCTGAAAATGGGGTTGCAGGCTGTAAGCCAAAAATTTCAGCAACACCTACAATGCTAGTATTGAATTTAATGGTATTCTCGAGACAAACGTAAAATGACGCTCAAGCCACTCTCAAAACTAAGCGACCGAACTTCTACCAAATACTTCACTTAGCAAAAAATGTATACTTATTCCGTAAGATGTCAACTCAAGCCACTGTTTCAATGAGCGGTCAAGGCGTCTGTCTTGGCCGCCCACATAGGTCTTGAGGGTGCTTAGGGGAGCATGGACCGCTTATGCGGACTGCACCACCTGGATCATGGTCGTGATTTTCTCTAATGTTGTCTCCATGTCCTCCAATGTCCTCCGACATCACACTTGCACCTCCTCCGATCCCACCTTCAGCAAAACCTCCTCCACCTCCAATTAGACAAAAATAGAAATCCACCTAGACCCCGCCTATGGGCTAAGTGTTGGGTGGCGCCTAGCGCTTTCGGTAACACTGACTCAAGCAAACATCCTCTAAGTTAAACAAAGGGGTTGCTTAATTTGATAGCTTGCAACTGTCAGGTAGTTACAGTTGCAACAAAATTAGTTCAGTCTTAAACTTCTGCGACTAATAATATTTGTGAATGGGGTTGTGGTTATCTGGTTCTACTTGCAACTAATTCTCACATGCAACTTGTTTTCACTTTTAATAAATTTATTTATAAAATCATATCACTTTACAAAATTATCCAGATATAAGCACCAAATGTTGTTGCTCCTTCCCCATTATTCTCTCCTCTTTCTACACTTACATTAATTCAAGACTACTGTGTCATTCATAGATAGACACAGTCTTGAACAAGAGAATATACAATTTCAGGTGTACGTGTATATAGATAGATAGATAGATAAATACCTGCAGCAGATTGTCAGAGAGGTCGAGGGAAACAAGACCCTTCGTCCTCCCAAAAGCCTCGGGCAAGAACCTCAGCCTCCTCCCAGCGAGGCCGACCCTGTCCACCGCCTGCGCCGACGCCTGGGTGGAGGATGGCGATCGCCTCCTCGTTGGCCTCCTGGTTTCTCCACCACCACCTCCGAGTAGCCTCCTCGTGGGGGAGGAGGTCGTAGCCCCTCGCCGAGACAGAGGTCGTGGCGCGTCGTAGATCCTCATCAGCTTCTCCTCAGCCTCCCTGAGCAGGCCCCGGTACGCCTCGTGCATCTCTTCCAGCTCGATCACCGCCCTGTACGGGAGTCTTCACCTTCTCCGCCTTGGCCTTGCACTCCCTCTCCCTGTCCTCCCAGCGTCGTCCTCCAGCTCACCACGTCGACGCCCGAGGGGCGCTGGGACCGGTTGGAGTCGCCCCACGTTCTCCTGTAGAGGCGCGTCGTCGATCTGGGCCATGCGAGCCCGGCGATGTCCACGGCCTCGTGGTCGGGGCGGTCCCCGAGGGGTCTGGAGGACGGACCGGGTGCGGGCGCACCTCCGAGACCGCGGTCTTCATGGCGGCGAGGACGGAGGGGTCGGCGAGGTGGGCATGTGCTCCAGCACGTCGAACTGGGGCCGCAGCTGCTGCTGCTGCTGCTGCTGCGCACTGCTGCTGCTCGACGCCGTCGGAGGGGGACCTGGATGAGTTGAGGCGCTCCATGACGTAGGAGAGGATGGGGAAAGCTCTTCAAGTTTTGATCCATGGAGATGTTTAGAGGATTCATTAATCGAATCGAATCTTAATCGGATCGGATTGGAAAGGAAGATCGATGGACTGGGAGACGCCTTAATTAATTTTGTTGGTTTAATTTATTAATTATATATGAGAATAAACGGAGGGAGGGGAATGAATCCGGTGGGGGTGCTGTGCGCTCTGACGTGCGGTAAAATTAATGAAGGGGAGGCCGAGGCTTCTCCCTCCCACTACCAACATCTGCATGGCTTTGCTTGCGCTTCGGAAAGAGCGGTTGTGGAACGGTTCCCCTTCAGCAAATAATATATATATATTAAATTTCTTCTTCCTCCTCTTTTACACGTGTCACGTACATCAGACAATTTTAACTAGGATAAAATTTGAAAATAGACCCATTTTGACAAATAATTGCAAATTTCAACCTATTTGTCAAAACCGACTCAGTTTCACCTAGATGGCTGAAACTAGGTCGGTTTTGACAAAAAAACTCTAAAACTTCACAGGATTTGAAGCCCCGTGAAGTTACGCAGCTTAATTAGCTGACTGCTAAACTTTATGGGACTTCAAGTCCTGTAAAGTTTCAGAGATTTTTTGTGAAAATCGACTCAGTTTTAGCCCAATGGCTGAAACTGGGTCGATTTTTTCACAAATAACTTCAGAATAGGTCGAAATTTGTAATTAATTTTGTAAATAGGTCTATTTTCAAAATTTATCCTTTTAGCTATCAAACCTCATTTTTACTTCATTTATTTCTTGGAAAAATTGCTTCTGGTCCCTAAAATAACAAGAACGATGCCCTCTCCCCAAACTTTTTCACATCTCCTAAACCCCCTAACATCAAAATCCTAAATCCTTTAGCCCTCTCCAGTTGGAATTGAACCCCCTCATGTTGTGTACTTTCAAACATATGAAAACCAAAATATCCTCACTCACTCTCTCTAGCTACCGGAAGTGCGGACGAGAGAATCGGTCATCGGAGAAGCATCACTGTAAGCATTAATGGTGATTAGAAAGGAGTTTTGGAGGGGGAAAAACCTCATTTCCCTCCAAATTCTAACCATCTTCTATTTCCCCCCTTCCCCAAAGAATAAACCCTACCACGTAATAGTGCACCTATACGTCTTCATCGACGTTGTTTTTTGACTGGAAGGCCTAGAGCTAACTATCGAGATTTTGGACTATCCGGACATGTACTTCGAGAAATAGTTCATGCATGCTTGTTACCGGGCGCAACAAGATCCAGTTGGTAAGGATTAAAATCTCATTTCTTTTCTTGTTTGTATAGATCTCTATGATCTATGATCATAGAGGGGCCCTCTTTACCATTTTGTATAAATAGACTATTCTATTTGTATAGATATGGTAGAGGGGCATATCCAATCTTTCTTCGCTCATTAATTCTAGTTCTTCAGCGCGGAGTAGAGCAGTTTGGTAGCTCGCAAGGCTCATAACCTTGAGGTCACGGGTTCAAATCCTATCTCCGCAACATTTTTTTGTCAAAAAATGAAGGAGCTGCATCGAATGCCATGGTTGTTGTTCAAGAAGAAAGGAAAATGTTGTCGGAATAACCACAGTAAGAAAATGAAGTGACGACACTCATCTCATTTTCATGCCCACAAGCAAGAGGTATAATAGTAGACGAGAATGGCATCGAATTATGTTGGAGGAAGGGAAAATGCCCTGTTAGCAGGAAGAATTGGACAAATAAATACTGTTTGCGAGGAATCAACTATTTTCAATCCTCTTTGCTTACCACAATTACTCTCTCCCGGCTATTTAATTCTCTTTCATGAATCCTCTTTGATTCTTCAACTATTTTTCTTCAAAATGACAGATAGATCCCTTCTTTGCATGGTTATAAACACAAAAAACAACGAAGAGGGTGAGAATGTTTTTGTAGTTATCAGTAAGTCTACAAAAATCATTAGCTCAAAGTATCAAGTGTCCCAAAAGCTTAAACCATCATTGCAATCTCTTTCACTAAAATTAATATGCGAAAGGGAAAAGAAGTTGAGTTTTGCAATTGAAAATAACAAGGACTTGAGCTTGATGTTCGAGTATTATCGTCGTAATGGATTTACAGAAATAAACTTATATGCTACATTCGCTGTGGATTCCTCAACTTCTTAGAACACCCAAACTTCTCCAGAAAATATGTAAGCATTTCAAAAACTTTAGTTTCCTTATGAGTTGGTTGTTAATGTTATGAGTTAGTTGTTAACCTTAGTAGATAGTTATGAGTTGGTTGTTAACCTTATGCATTGATTGTTAAGGTTATGAGGTGGTTGTTAAGGTTATGAGGTGGTTGTCAATTTTAGTAGAGAGTTGTGAGTTATTTGTTAACCTTTGTAGTCAATTTACGTATTAAAGTGTTTTCTCACTTTTATAGGACTATCCCGATAGAAATTTCGTAATGTACAGTTGCTACGCTCAGCCAACCATGTAATGATGAGCGTGATACTAATGACAATCCCACTGGCGACTCGATCGTGATGATAGAAGAGATGGTTAACAACCAGATCTTCGTCTAATTGATATCAAGAACGATTTTTACTCACATTACGTACAACATCAAGGTTAATTATAGCAAAGCGTGAAAAAGTAAAGAGAGAGCACAACAGGACCTGTTCGGTGACGATGATGAGGCTTACGATTCACTAAGATGGTCAAATATTTCTTATTAAATAAGTATTTGTACCTTAGTTGCCATGCTTCTATTATCCTTAACTATTAGTTGTTAATGTTATGACTTGGTTGTTAAGATTATGAGTTTTTTGCTAACCTTATGGGCTGGTTGTTAACCTAAGTGGATAGTTATGAGTTGGTTGTTAACCTTATGCGTTGGTTATTAAGGTTATAAGTTGGTTGTTAATATTATGTGTTGATTGTTAATTAAACTTAGTAGATAGTTATGCGTTGGTTGTTAATCTTTGTAGATGATTGTTAGAAGCAATTATATAGTTGTTAAGGTTAGGAGTTGGTTGTTAACCTTTGTATGCATCTTGTTGTTAAGGTTATAGTTTTGTTGTTAATGTTACAATAATGAGGGTAATCTTAATAATTACTTGTTATATTCTATGTTTTTCTCATGCACACAGTAGAGTCAAAACGTTTACTTATTATTATTTTTAACATTAATTACATCTTGTTTAAACATATTACAAAATTATCGAGTCACCTCCCGATGTGGGATGATGACGAGAGTAGAGCCTCTAATGGAACCAATCCGCGAGAGTCTCGTTCCCTTCAGACGCACAAGGTAACCACCGGAAGCAATCTAGATAGTTGATGGTCTTTTCACCAAGGCATGTGCCCGCTAGAGAAGGAAGGCAAGTATTAGGGGTAATTTCTTCAATATCGACCTTCTGGTACTTTAAGTCAACGTTTCGTATTGAAAACAGTTATCGGTTAGCAGTTCTTTCAATCGCACGCTCCCTTCGCTTAATTATGATAGGATCTCTTCAATCGAGACCTCGCACCGGTTTCTCTATTAAGATGTAGCACCGTGTATGGTATTAATTTTTAATTTATTGGTCGCAGCGGGAGCGATTAATTCATGTCTTGTTTTCGGTTAACGGGGTTGCTTTTGCGAGGTAGAGCGTAATTGCTTTCGGTTGTAATTTTTGCTCGTTAGTGTGTTTTTTTGAGTTGGCCCAAAATTGAAGTGTGAGTTTCCAGTTTATTATTTCCCTTCCCCCACCAGAATAAATTAATAAATAGAAAATTTGTACGGATAATTACAAGTAGCAGTAGCAGTAATAACAGTAGCGGTAGAGGAGGAAAGGGGGAAGATACGGCCCTACGGGC